AGAGAAAATCTGAAAGAATGTGAACTGCTGCAAGTCACATGAAAAAAGTGTTCTCAAGAAGGAAGCCAGTGTGACAAATGCTGCTGATAGGTTTCGGGGCTGAAAATTGTCCCTTGGATTGAGCAACATGGAGGGTGGAGGTGGTTGGTGACCAAGATAAGTGGCAAGTCCAGGGTTAGCTAGGAACTTGGGCATTCATCCAAAGATACAAGCAGGAAGGCAGAGTTCAGAGACCCTGTTGCTGCGGACAGGACAGCATCTTGCAAACTGTGATTGGCATTGCGGGGAATCACTGAGGGCTTTGTGAAAACAGGGATCAGGGTTCAATAGGTCTGGGAAAGGGCCACGCCTGTGTTTGCTCCCAGGTGATGCTGATGCGCCTGGTCCCTGGGCTACACGGGGAGGAGGGAGAGTGTAGGGCTGATTTCACCTGCGGTTTCTTCACTGGGTACCCCTCTAACCAGGGGTGTAACTGGCAACTGCTCTGGGTTGACTCTTTTAAAAGAGTTTCTGTGGTCCAGGGGCTTGAGAACATTGACAGTGCAGCTCAGATCTGTGGCTGGAGAAATGGGGACAAAACATAAGGAGTGCTGATTGTGGATGGAAGCTGTAGCCTGCTTTGTTGTGTGACTGAAAGATGGCGGGCCTTCTATGCAGAAATGCAAAGACCGGGGCCCAGCAAACTGCCTGGACAGAGACTGCTGGAAGCTGGACGATGCCTCTTTGTCTGTCAGAGTAAACTGGCCGGGGCGCCTCCTGGAAGGCCCCTTTGAGGATGGCTGCCATTGTTTCTCCGGGATACGTATGAGTAAACTGAGACACTAAAGGCTCAGTAGGACTCACTGAGATAAATACCCGGTAGAGGTCTTGTCTCCAATTCCCTCCCTCCGTTCAAGTGTACATACAGTTCAGTGGCGTTTAGTACGTTCACAGAGGTGTGCAACCATCAGCACGATCAATCTTGGAACATTGTCATCACCCCCAAAAGAAACCGCCATGCCCTTTAGCCACTGTCTTATTTTTAAATGACACAGAAATGTACTAGAATGTCTGGGAACCTTCTGCACAGCAATCTGTGAGATTTCACAAAGCTGGGGTCAAAGTCCACCTGCTGCCTGAAAACAAAACTGCAAGATGGGCGTCCTCGGTCGGAGACGGCACTGAAGACAGGACAAGAGGGCCTGGTGGGCTCCGAGACAGCAACACGGCTCTGACTAACACTTAGGCCTGGGATTCTTCCCCATCAGACACGTGAATGTCCACTTCGCTTGCCCCAACAGAGGCATGTGGCTCCCCGACCCTGGCGAGCACCAAGTGGAGTGCTGACTGCAGGAGGCCGCCTAAGCAGCGCTTGGGCTAAGAAAACGGAACCTGGCGGGCAGCTGTGTGTCTGCAGCCATTCGCACACGGGCACCTTAGGTGGGATCCAGCCGGACGACTCAGGCCCCACTGGGCACCCTTGGAAATGTCTTCAGTTTTTGTTTCCATCCACAAAGGTGACTTTGGCAAATTATGACACCATTTTGATGATTTCAGAACAGTCTCTGTTTACATACATTTCAAAAGTGAATACATTCTAAAGACAATAAGTTTTAGAACAGGCAATATTTCACTTTATTAATTAGATCTGTTAACTTTTTCATGGCTGTTTTAGATTCTTTTAAAAATGTCATAATTTTAAAAAAGATTAATGACTCCTTGGAACCTACAATTTGTATCTTGTTTATATTTGAAAAGAGCAAGAATATGTCCAACAAAAAAAATTTTTTTTTACTGTCCTATAGGATACTTGCAATAATTTAGCACACAATGCAAAATAGCTTGGCTATTTTATCATAATGGATTGTTTTCTGTGTTATATAGCTTTCCTAGGTCATACAGACAGAGAACAAAGACATATAAGCCACTATATTTTATAGGAAGTGGTATTTGAAACTGCATTTACATACTTATAGTCTTCGAATTCATAAACAAATAAACATATAAATGTATGTTTAAAAGCTACATGTCTTTATATTTAAATATTTAAGGCTTGTAAAAATCAGTTACTTTTCAGGAAACTAGATAAACCACATGGGTGCCACAAGAAGGTTCCAGAAGGCTGCCCTGTATCAGGAAAGCTGGCAGCCAATGCCAGGTATTCCTGACTGATTGCTCCATTAGAAGGAAGAGTGCACAGCACTGGGCTACGGTGGACTCTATATAACCACATGCTTCTGTCATTGAAAAAACAAACCACAAGTAAAAACAGTTGTACTTTCCGTGTCATTAACAGGAAGCCTGGACGTTTCTGGAAGCAAACTGATTAACAAAAAAACAAAGAACCCACCTGTTTTAGTGTGAGATAGTCCTGGCTTCATCTCTGTGTACCCCTGGACAAGTAACTCAACTTCTCCCAGCCGTTTCCTCACTCTAAAATGCTGGCAGGGTGGTTGTGGAGATTAAATGAGATGCTGTATATAAAGTACCAGGAATCTAGCAAATGTGGTGATGTAACATCCTTCCCCCCTTCCTCTGCCTGGCTAATTTCATCTCAAGATGTACCCTAAGGGTCACAGCCTCTGTGAAGCCCTCCCTGACCCCCCTAGGTCTCCTGCCCTCCTGCTGCTTCAGTTGGTGTCTCTCTCACAGCTCTTAAAATGTAAAATGATTGCTGGCTGCATCGTGTTGGTGCGTCGGTCCCCTGCATTTTGTGGGTTCCAGGGCCTGGGACGGTATCTCGATGATCTCTTTGCCCCAGCACCTAGCAAAGTGTAAAGCAATGTGCAATCATTACTACATAGCATTTCTGATCATGTAGATAAGCACTTGTGACCTCTGGAAGCCTAATTTTAAGTAATAACACAAATGAGATTTTATAAAGTTGTCATCAGTTCTCCTTTTGGACAGTGAGCTCTTCTGAAAGCAAGAAGGCACCTTCTATAATCTAGGTACTTACAGTAAATGCCTCTGAGCACAGAAAAAGATTTTCGTAAACTATTTTGCATTTACTGGGAAGTTATAAATAACAAAGCAAACTGACCTGAAAGATGAAAGATGAAAGTGCAGCCCTTGCAAAGGCAGTGGAGCACGGCCAGCTCCAGGCTTCCTGACCGCTATTTAGAAATGGTACTAGGGAATGAAAGGGGCCTCTCATCACAGGAAGCGCTTGGAGAAGAGACAGAGCTACAATTGTATCCAACTTTTTATCTAAAAAAAGTAACATGGACAAAAGGAGAGTGATGTGGGAAAATCCATGAAGAAGGGCCCTCTACATTCAGGTGTAACAGCTAATGTCTATGCACTATACAGTGGTTCCCTGTAACGATGGTAACCCGGATCCGGGCTATACTTGCATGGTTCTGAATTTCTGTGCTGTTTGCTGTTTGTTATTATGGGCTACAGGTAGGGAATTTGGCCTTGGTTGTATTTTATGAAACATCCATTTGCAGCACTGCCAAGGCAGGGAAGAAAAAAATATTTTTTTTTCTCCCCATCTAGGTTCTCTGCTGGGGCTCGTAACAAAGGACAGACTGTAAGGGAAAAGCATTCACACTTTTTGTGTTGTTGTTATCACCGTTTTATTATTTCTTCACACTTACATAATATGAGTTGTATGTGGGAGCCTTCAGAAGGACATGAAGACAGGAAGAAACCCCTAAACCTGAGTGTTCTGTACTAGGTTTGATAAGCAATGAAAGTAATGCAAACACGTGATGGGACAAGAAGGTCTGAGCTAAGCCTAGGAAACTGGGAGAAGCCTCCGTGGCTACATTCCTGTGGGTGTCCCTCCACCTTCACAGGTCAGGATGTGTCTTTTCTCCGGCTATGGGGAGGGCACCTCTCATGTGAGGGTTTTCTGACCTGCTGCAGGGGAATCACACAGTCCTTGCACCTACCAATTCTCAAATTCCTTCAGCTTAAAATACGCCATGACCCAAGGTGCCAGATTTTGGAGTAGTGTGTCGTGAACCCTATCACCAAGGGCTTTGTCTGTAAGGATGCAGGGAGACCAGTCTTTGTGTACCTTTGTTTGAAACCAGTTATATGACATTTGGTCCATCCTGTGGCCATCTCACCAGTGTCCCTGCATCTGTCCTTGCTTCCCTCCCCATCTAACTTAACGCAGCAGCCCAAGGGAGCCTTCCTAAAGGTCATTCAAATCTTACCACTACCAACTCCCTAGCTTCAGTGCCTTCCCAGTGGGCTTGGAACAGCCCCAAAGTCCTTACGATGACTAACAAGGGCCCTCTTGAGCCTGCTTGCCCTCTGGCTTCACGTGTCCTCCTTCTTCCCCTTGCCACTGTGCCTCAGCTCCAGGGACTCTTGCTGTGCCTTGTCTGTATCAGGCACCCCTGCCCTGGGGCCTTTGCACTTGCTCTTCCTGGAAATATGATTTTAAATTAAATGAAAGATCCTTTACTCCACCACCAATTTCAAAGCAAAATGCTTTCTTTTTCACTGGCGAAGACACAGGATGTGAAGGAGCGACTAATTACCTATACTTAGACAATGTAATGCTGTCTCATGGCTAAAAGAAAAAAACCCAGGATTACTATTTTTCTATTTATATTTGCAAAATTCACTGACAAAGTGGATGTGAAATGAGGAAGACAACCCAGCTTTTTGTATCTCGGACAGTAAAGGAATTTCTATTTCAACTGCTTTTGTCTCCAAATGAAATTTGCAGAATTCCAATATAAAAACTATCAAAAAAAACCAAACAAAACCATACACACACACACACACACACACACACACACACACCCCAAACCAAAAACCAAACACTGATATGAACTGAATAATGCTTGGTTTTCATGTGCTGTGCTCTTTTACAACCACTGAACAGTTTTTAAGATCATTGCAAATCACATGAAACCACAATTTGTGAAACTTGAAATTTTAGGTGACTTTGCAAATTTCTCTTTAGAAAGACTTTTTATATCATGATAAGCAGCTCTGGGAGAAGAGATATCAAAAGAGAATTCATACTTAATGGCCTCAAGCTGACTTCTTCAAAACCATATGAAAACAAATTTATTTTCGTTTTATGCACCTTTTGGGGAATGCTGTTACGAGCCAGGGTTAGATCTTCAGAGAACTGACAAAGGAGGTTAGGAAGGTTAGGAGAAAAGAACTGGTGAAACGGGTAGCTTTGTAGATAACTAAGAAGTAAACTTGTTAAAACTACAACGCTTTACATCCTATGAGTTTTTAAAAGAGGAAAAGATCAGCTTTAATCACATAGAAGGCTTGTTGCATTCAAACATTTATACAGATTGGTTAAAGGCTGTTTGCAAAGGCCTCAAAGAAATAATCTCTTCAATTCATTTAACAGAGAAATGTCAGTAGGTTCCGAGTCTGAGGCAAGGGCCTTCCACTGACAGATGAACGCCTGTGTTTACAAAAGCAGAACTAGAACTTCAGACCTACAGGGGTTCAAAGTACGCCACATCAGAACATGCCATCCTGGCACCCGGACCCTGCTGGGCTCTCGGCAAGGGAGAAAAGCAGACACAGAAGGTGCTCTCTGCCCTCCCTCATCGGTCTGAAAGCAGAACATAGTAAATTCCCCTTGTGGATTCTGTCCCAGGACGGCGGTAACAATCTCAGCTCCAGAGATGAGATGGCACGGAGGGGTCCACACAAACAAACCTTACTAAATAACCATGATCTTCCATTAGTTCCTCCATATATTTACCTTCCCAGGTTGCTGCCCCTAAAAGCCTAAAGTCCTTTTCCTTTGTTTTCTTACTTCTCTACAAATTCATTGGTCTTTGCTAAGATGCTACATAAGCCCAAGTTCTAACCATCCCTTTGAGTCACTCATCACTGAGTTTCTCCTGCATGTATCATGCTGCACATGTTAATAAACTGTTTTTCTCTTGTTAATCTGTCTTTTGTCAGTCCAGTTTGCAGAGTCCCAGCTCCAGAGCCTAGGATGCCTTTTTTCCTCCCCTACTGACCCAACACACGTCCTTGACAACAGGAAGAGCGCCTAGTATCAGAAACCAATGTCATAGTGTTTATTCACCCTGGAGAAAAAAAAAAATACATGACTCCTTACTAGGTGAGAGGACTCTAAACAAAATTCTCCCTGTGAGATTAGTTACAGAGTAACTTTTGTGGTTCAAGGGAGACCTGTAAAGTGAGAAAAGAGAGGGGAAAAAAATGAAGCTCTAGTTATCCAATGTTAGAGCCTAAGGATACTATTCAGTGAGTCCCACAACCCCAGGAACACATTTCTCACAAGTTAATCTTGAGGCAGTCTCAGACGGCCGATTAGAAGAAAACCTGGGAGCAGTTTGAGTTGGGCTATTTATGGCTGTGCAGCCTGGGCAAGACAGCACCTCTGTGGGCCTGTTTCCTCACTGGTAAAGTGCACAGAATAACATTCTTTTCTTAGCGCTGTGAAAAGGATCAAGTGAGAGCCTGTGCATGCGTAGTTCTCAACTCTGACTGCATCTTAAGATAACTTGAGGAATTAAAAAAGAAATGGTGATGCCTGCGTTGCAGCCCATAGATTCAGATTAACTGCTGTAGGGTGGGTCCTCAGCACCAGTGGGCTTTCAGAGCTCCCCAAATGACTCATGCACAGCCACTGCTGAGAAGTACAGGACTCTGATCACTCAGGGAAGGATTCCCTGGGGATCCTGCCAAAATGCAGACTGGGATCCAGGAGCATGGGGCCTGCGAGTCTGCATTTCTAACCGGCTCCGAGGCTATGCTGACCTGCTCCCGACCACTCTGAGTGGCCACAAGACACAATGCAAACAGTCATGTGCTCTCTCTCCCCAAACTATCAATTTTTAGTGGTGGTGGGTGTGAGCTTCAGCAAATGACTTTCTTTCCTTCTTAGGATTGTTTTAAGAATACCGTTTATAAGATTTCAAAAACAAGCATAAAAGGGTGGCACGCTTTACTAAAAAGTATCATTCTGGGTATCTGCTGTTAAGAGAAGACTGACAGTTATAAGCACACCCACTTGCTATGGTACCACTGCTCCCCACATTCATTACAGATTACATAGGTCATCATTTCTTCACCCGGGTTTGAATTCTGCACCCAACTTGGCAGGAAAAGTGTTCCTCTGGTGATCACAGTGACCCTGCAATTGAACTTCTCACAACGTCTGCATCGTATTTTCCTGGTCTGTGTGCCCTCTGTGGCTTGGGGAAGGTAATGTTCCCGTATGCAAGATTCTGTGTAGGAAGCCCTCAACTGCTTCAGTTCCTGGTTTGCCATTTCCATGACTGTCATTTCGGCAAACTGACTCGGAGACGTGATTCCAGAGAGCAAGTTTTGTTGTAAATGAGAATTTTTGGGGTTCTTCAGATTGGCAACTTTGCTTCTGATACAAGTTTTATATTTTTTGAGGTTCTTTGAATAAAGGGTGAAAATGTGCTCTTCAATTTCTCTTGCAAAGTTTTGCCACAAATCAGCTTTGGACTGATCTGCGGAGGAACTAGTTAAAGCTTCATAAAGCAGCTCTGTGCATTTAGCTCTCATGGGCACTGCGGGATCAAGCAACTCACTTGATCTCTTGATGGTGGATTTAGGGTCACCACCCCTGAGATGCTCTTCCTTAGGTTCCATTTGATTGGTGCTGTTGTCAGGCATAATCATTTCAATGGCGTTTGCAACATCTTGGGGTGATAGCAAGGAATTAGAACAGGAGCTGCCCAATGTATTATTCTGACTTGGGTCATGAGAAAGACCTGAATTGTCTTCATTTCCTCTCGTAGGGAATAATTTATTAGGGCTGTCCCTTGGTTTGAAGTGAGGATCCTTATAAAGAGCTTTCCATTCGGACAGCAAACACTTGGCTTTCTTTTTCAAAGCCACCGTGGGGCAGTTTTTGAGGACTCTGTACACAGTCCTGACCACATCAGTCTCCTGGAGAAGCTCCTTAGTCACATGAAGAGTTGCCAGCTCAGTAAGGTGGTTGCCAAGATCCTCAAAATTCCTTTTAGACATCAATTGCTCAATAAGGGAAGCTCTGGCAGCTATCTGCTTCTTGTCAGACATCTTGACAGCTACAAAGAAAACAGAAAAGAGGTTTCCATTTTCTTAAGTACTTACTTGCCAGTCGCAGCTTCCTGATAGTAGCATAGCGCCCTCTGCCAGTTACCTAGGCAGGGTTTTCTGAGAGTTATGCAATAAAAATGGGTGCGATGTCAGAAAATGGAATCTGCAATGTAGTATGGCTCAGTTTCAAAAGTCTGCTTCTTAGTAGTCAAAAAGCGACGTTGTCAACAGCTTCTGCATTAACAGTTGCTTAAAAGAAGCTTGTTTGACGATCTGCTGTAACTTTTTCCATCTCTAAGTTTTCAAACCAATGATTTTTCCTTTGGATGGAATTTGAGGTCATGTTGGGGATGAATTCAGGCCAGTGTCAGCATCAACAGGGTAAGGCTGAGCGAGGCAGGACTATTTTCCACAATACTCAGCTACATAACTACACTACTTGCTGATTTTATGATCTCTAAGTGGTACTTCTCTGAATATAAAAGAATGAGAAGCAGGGCAAAACGGAGATACTGTTCAGATGTCCCAGGGATCTAAAGAGATCGTGAGACAGCACAGGTTGGGAGGCAGCCAGACCCAGGTCTGACGGGCCCCGAAAGCCAAAAGGCAGCACTACCTGATGTCTGAGTCGTCTAAACAGCAGGGTAGGAGTTCAGACTAAGCAATCCAGATGACTTATGACTTTGGACTAACTGGTCCCTAGACCAGAATTTGGTTCCATTAACTTTTTTCCTTTTTCACTTTTAGGTATAAAAGGTTGCTTGATCATAATGTCTGTGTGAATCTCATCCTTGACAGGCAAATAGCCAGTCTATTTTTCTCTCCACATAATGTACTAACTTTGACCAAAGAATACCCTTGGATCTATACCTGCCCATGTGACCTAAATGTGAACATAAGCATCTCAATGGCAGGGACCCTGTCCTTTCAGAACAAAATGGATTCTCACGTTAGTGTACTCGACACCATCACTGAACACACACACGCTAACAACACTGGAGCAATTAGAGAATTAATGCGGTCTTCCTAGAAACCATCTGACAAGTGCTGTAAAATATAATGTCCTTTTAGTCAGCAATTCTACTTCTATAAATTTACTTGAAGGAAATGCAAGATGTGGAAGCTCTATGTGGAAGAATTTTCTTCAAACATAGGAGAAACTAGAAGGTTCCAAATGGTTAAACTTGTACATGAATGTTAATAGCATTACTCATAGTAGATAAAGAGTGTAAACAACCCAAATAACTATCAACTGGTGAAAAGATTTAAAAAAATGTAGTATATCCATACAATGGACTATTCCTTAACAATAAAAAGAAATGAAATTATGATATACACTACAACATGGATGAGCTATGAAAACACTATGCTGAGTTAAAGACATAGAAGACCACATATTGCATGATTCCATTTATATGAAATGTCCAGAATAGGCAAATCTATAGAGATGGAAAGTAAATTAGTGGTTGGGGCTGGGGAGGAGGGACCAGTGGGGTGGAAGGAAAGGGGAGTGGCTGCTCATGGTGCAATTTTTCTTGGGGGAAGTAAAAAAAATCTTCCCTAAAGTTGATTGTGGTGGTGAGTTGCACAACTGTGAATATACTAAAAACCACTGAACTATATACTTTAAATAGGTGAATTGTATGGCAAATCAATTATATCTAAGTAAAGTTGTTATTTAAAAACAACATAGCACCTGATCCAGAATTTGTTTAAAAATCACATGTGAAGAGAAAAAGCCAAAACCAGAAATATGAAATTTTACAGTGGCATTTTCTGAATGGCAAGGTTTTAGGTGATTTTTATTTGTTCTTTTACTCTTTTCTGTATTTTCTATGATGAGTATGTATTATTTTCATAATCAGAAAAGTTATTAATGTCTACTATAATTTCATGATAAATTACATATTTAAGATACTGGCCTACTGAAAAATGGCATGGTAAATGGATCAAACAACTTCTCCCTTCCCTCTGGACCCAGAGTATCACACAGGTGCTACATCGCCATGGCTTTGCCTTCAGAGCAGCATTCACACCTGCCTCAGAAGCCCATCACTGACCCCAAAGCAGCCGAGTCTCCCCTGAGGAGCCAAGCACATTGGCCACAACCGTGAGGTTCCTCCTGTGTTTTCCTGCAGGGAAACGACCACAATTCTGAGCCTTGCACATCTGTCACCAGAGGGAGCCGGAAAGTAGACGACTGGAGCCGTCAATTTTTTCTTTGTCATTTTTCTAATTATCGACAATCAGTACTTCAAGATTTTTAATTTTCCTTTTTAAAATTCCACTTTTAAAGACTGAAAACAGTAAAAAGAGATCTCCCTAAGAATCAAAGGCTGATTAAACAAAGAATAGGCAAAACAGCACAGAAAAATGAGAAATACACGTCCTTAGTGGCTCGATGTTTCTCGCGGAATTGTCTGCCTGAGATCCTGGGATCTGGAGGAAGTCAAGCAGCCATGTCATGCTGGTTAGGCCTCCACTGCATCCTACACTTGAGCCCTCCCCCATTTGTTGGGAAGTTTCCTAACAGAGAAGGAACATTTACCCCGCCTGCCTCTTATCCTCATTCTCTATGCATCACCACCGGAGGAGACTGGGATCAAAGTTTGCTGGCTGTCAGCTGGGTGGTTAATAAGAGACAGACCTAGAGTGCCTGCAGGTTAAGCAATGTTTAACTCAGGTTAGAATGTCTCAACAAAGGGTCAGAGTCTCAAGGAGATTCTGCAGGGGAATTTGACAGTAACTTCCGGGCTTCGGGGCCGTGAGAGCGGCACTTTGTCGTACCAGCGAAACTTCTTTTCCTGGTGTAAATCTATAGAAGCCTATCTTCATGGGTAAGCACTTTGCTCTTCCTTTCACATGTCTTTTTCATTTACCTCTCCTCCATATTTATCTATTTTTGATTTTTAATTGTGATATAATACACATACCATCAAATTTGCCACCTTAACCATTTCTCAGAGTGCAGCAGGAGTGTTAAGCACATTCACACTGTTGTGCGACCAACCTCCAGAGCTCTTTTCATCTCACGAAACAAACTTTGAATCCATTAAACAACAACTCTCCACTCCCCAGGCCTCCAGCCCCTGGTAAGCACCATTCTAACTTTCTATCTCTGTGAATTTGACTACTTCACATATTTCATATAAGTGGAATCATACAGTACTTGTCTTTTTGTGTCTGTTTTATTTCACTTAGCATAATATCCTCCAGGTACATCCAAGTTGTAGCAGGTGTCAGGGTTTCCCTCCTTTTTAAGGCTGAGTAATAGTCCATCATGTGGATAGACCACATTTTTCTCATCCGTTCATCTGTTGATGGACAGCTGGGCAGCTTCCACCTTTTGGTTACTGTGACTAATTCTGCTAAGAACACGGGTGTGCAAATATCTCCTGGACACCCTGCTTTCAATTCTTTTCAATATAGACCCAGAGGTAGGATTGCTGGATCATATGGTAATTCTATTTTTCATTTTTTGAGGCACTGCCATGTTTCCCCTTCTCCTCCATATTTTTGACAACATTTCAATCCTGTCAAATTTTCTAATCCCCCTATGGGACAATCATGTGGCTATAAAGCATACTTATTGCCCTGGAAGGGTATAGTGTGGAAGCAGCTGGGATATAAAATTCCAAAAACTGCCAGAAGAAGACCAAGTAGGCTGTGGATGCACTTCACAGTTCTACGTGGTTCATTCAGTAAATATTTAGTACACACCTAGTGCAGGAGAGATGCTGAGCCTAAAGAGATACTTTCTGTCTTAAAGGAGCCGACAGCCTCCCATATACCAATTATAACACATGGTATTTCCACAAGGACAGACAAAACCCTTGGGGGGCACATGCGGGAAAATTACTGGGCTCCCCATCACCTGGCCAGCTCCAACTGCTCCTTCACCACCTTCACTCTGATTCCCGGCGCTTGGTTAGCGGGGTCATCCTCTAGTACAGATCTCCCCAAGGCAGTCCTTCCTTTTCCCACTAAAGGCCTCCAGAGGTCCCCCTCTGCTCTCAGGATGGAGCCAAGGTCCTGCCCAGGAGAGGGCAAGTCCCCACCTCTTCTGTGGGCCCCAAGCTCTGCTCCAGCAGCTCCCTAAGACTGGCCTCTCTCTCACCGTGAGTGGTTCTCAGGCCTGCCTGCAAATCCGAATCATCTGGAAGAATTCAACAGCAAAAACCAAACCAAACAATGCCAAGGCCTCACCCCAGACAGAATGACTCAGAATCTCTGAGGGTAGGCCTGCATGTTTTCTCAGCTCTCCAGGCGACTCTGATTTAAACCAGAGCTGCTGCCACTGCTCTGTACACGCAGGCACAAATCCCCTCCTACAGCAGGATGGTCCTGTTACACTACCAGCAGCCCAGAGCTCCGGTCCTGCTCCTAGACTGAAATGCACAGAGCCCGACTTGCGGTTTTGCTAGATGAGCACAATTCAGTCAGGAAATATTAAAACGCCTGCTATGTGCAACTCACCTGAGACTCTTGTGAATTACAAGTGGTGACTGCAGTGTTCTAAGTGTCACAATGCACCCAAACCCCCCTATTCAGTCCCTCCCTTACCTCTTATCTGTGGAAGGCAATGCACATGTACTGAGCAGCTCTATGTGCCATACGCACTCAAGTCATCTCAGTCCTCACAATAACGCCAAGACAGGGATATGGCTCATCTCCATTTTACAGATGAGGTATCCTGTTAAAAACATAAAATATTTGCACACTATTTTTTCATGATGCATTTCACAGTAAATTGTGTTCCATCTGCCTTCCCCACAAAACCATAAAAGAGTATGTTTCATTCACAGATACATACCTGGCAACACCTGGCCAGAGCTTACTATTACTAGACAAAATTTTTTTTTGTTAAATGAGAAAAGAGCATTCAAAATGCTCTTTCTCTCTGCCTGTGAGCTTCATTCTTCCACTACAGAGCAGCTTGCTTGTGTCCACTGCACCTAAGCCCACTGCCCCTCAGCTTCTTCCATAGGAGACCAACCTCATCTCAATTCTGGCTCAAAAACTCCTATTAAAAAATTCTAGCTCAAAAGTAAAAAGCAGCATGGTGCCTACTGTGGGCTAATCAAGTGGACGCCAGGAGTCAAGCCATTTAGGGATAAGGAGGATCAGGAAGGCACAGCTCCCAAAAGTGAGAGGTCTTGGGCACATTGGGTAAGTTTCTTGGACATTCTGTGTCTCAATTTCCTCATCTACAAAATGGGGGAAATCCAACACCCAGGATTATTATGAGAATTAAATGCGATACTCCTTAAAAAGTCCTTAGAACCATGTCTATCGCACAGTAGGCCTGACTGACAATTACATAGGACTACAATGCATAGGTTTACATCTATCTACCATACCAAGCATTGTTCTAGAGGAGAGGGTCAGCAAACTTTTTCTGTAAAAGGCCAGATAATAAATCTTTCAGGCTTTGTAGGCCATCCAATCTGCATACGGACTACTCAGCTATGCTCCTCTTGGAGCAGGAATAGCAGCCATAGGCAATATATAAGTAAATGGGTATGTATGGCTTTGCTCTAGTTAATCTTTTATTCAGAGAGACAAGCTAGATTTGGGTGCAGGCCAGTTTGCTGACCTCTTTTTAGACCAGTGCTGTCCAGCAGAAATATAATGCAAGCCACAGGTATCGTCTTAGATTTTCTAGTAGCCATGCTAACAACTAAACAGGTGAAATTAATATCATTTTAACCGAGTACCCAAAAATACTGCCGTTTCAACATGTAATCAATATAAAAGTAAAACCTTACATTCTTTTTCATAGTAATTCTCCAAATTTTGCTGTTTTACACTTACTGCACATCTCAACTCCGACTAGACACATTTCAAGTGTTAATAATAGCCTTATGTAGCTAGTGGCTGCCATCTTGGACAACAGTTGTAGAGCGTACAGCAATACAGATAATATTGAGACACACCCATATCCCTAGCTTCTGAACACATATCAAAAATAGAGATTATACAGTGCAAGCAAGAGTAGGCCCTCAATTATCTGTTGACTGCATATAAAAGCTTGTAAATATTAACTAATACTACGGTATGGGCAGGTGTACACATTTGACCTAAAGCCTGAGAAGAGAGCAGAGACATTTCCAAAAGCTGGTAACAAGTCAGCAATACCCCAGGTCTGTTTGGATCCTTAGGCTTAAGATCTAAAGAGAAATGTTAAGTTCCTCGCCATTGCCCACGTACATCTCTCCAGCTACACAAGCAGGCCCTTCCTCTATGGAGAGAAACGATGCCAAATGTTGGTAGGGGCGTCGTCACAGTTGCTGAACATTCACCCAGTAACGTGCTCGGTTTCGAGTTCTATTACGGCGAACCCTAGCAAGAGCGCAGCGAGTGAAAGGGGGCCAGCCCACTGGCCCGCTCCCGCCCACTGGCCCGCGCCCGCCCGAGTCTGGGTTCCGGTGGGTGGGGTGGAGACAAGCAAGGCCTGCTGCAAGCCGTCCTACAGTGACAGCCTGGCACCCGGCACACAAGCGGCGGCGGCGCCGAGGGATCTGCCCACCCCGGCGCCTCCGGCTGGACAAGAGGACGCGCGGGCACATTCGAACCTAAGCGGCCCAGGGCTCCCAAGAGCCTCCCGGAGCTGCGGCGGGGAGAGACTCCAGCCAACCCGCAGCGTGGCTCACCATGAAATACGGGCGAAAGCCCAGGAACCGTCAGAGCGCCCCAAGTCCAGAGGGAACTTCTGGTCCTCAGGGCGGGACCAGGAAGGCTCAGCCAATCCCAGCCCGCAGAGCAAAGGGCACTGCCCTGGGGCCCGGCGCATGCGTGCCAAGGGAGTCGCGCCTGCGCAGGACGGTCAGCGGCGGACGGCTGGCTCTCCGCGGCTGCCTGGACGACTTAGCAAGAGGGAGCCGACAGCCCGCACCAGGGCCTGAAATGAAAAAAGCTAGCCCCGCCAATATTTTAGAGCAGCAGTTTGTTTACTCTTTAACGTACCCTTTCTGCTGCCACTAAAGACAGTGCTCATGTAATTGTTGACAAAACTTTGGACAAAAATGTGAATTATATTTATTGAACACAGTAATTAATTCAACAAGTAATTACTGCCTGCACACGTAGCACGCATCACTACGAAAGTAGTAAACATTCATTAAGTAGCCATGTGCATCCTGCACTTCTCACCTGTATGCATTCTGTCCCTGCAAGAGTCTAATAAAACCAAGGTGGTGGTAGAACTAGAGAATGTAGCAGCCTTCTTTGCTGATCGCCTACTGTTAAGGTAACTTGGGGGAAGGTTCAAGGAAGCAGCGCTTTGCTCTGGATTGGATGCTGTCGGGAAGCAGGGCAATTCTATAATTGAGTAATATAATAAATCTTACCTAGAAGTGTTGCTAGGCAGCTGCCTCTGGGGAGTTCTCTTCCTGTGCACTAGGTGAAACCTCAACCCAGACTGGGGATGGTTCTTGACTCTGATCTAGAAGGAATTCACGAACAGGTCGGATGAGTATAGGTAAGAAAGGAACTCCTTAAAGCAAGAGTAGAAGCGAACGTCAGCAGCTGAGCAGGCAGTAGAGAGCAGGAAAGAACAGAGTGAGAAAAGGAAAGTTCATTGAACTCTGCTCAGTTTAGGGAAAATCCCTTGCCAACGCCTAAAGCCAGGAGTCTGTTTGATCTGCATGGCATGGGAATTCTATCCCTACCACTCCAGAATTTGGGGGAGCCATGGAAAACTGGATGGAGTGAGTTTATGTCCTGAGAACTTCCACTTCCCTACTGATCTGAAATAAAACAGGGACAGAGAAAAGGATTGTGTTAAGACTAGAAAGCTGAATGAAATAGCAAAATGAGAAAGACATTTACCAGTGGAGGTAGAGATTGGAAAATTCTTACCTTTACCATGGAAAAGAGTTCAGAGACAAGTGCAATCGGCTTATGAAACAAGAAAGTTTATTTGATATAAGACAGTACACACTAATACGGAGGTGCAGGCAACCTGAGAGGAGGTGCGCTTAATGGTTTTAGGCCTGGGATTTTATATATAGGGACTTTGGGGTAGGCTTGGCATAAGGCATGATGTATACAGGTGATTCATAATTCCTTTGAAGTTTTGTCTTGGGAACAGAGTTATTTAGGTGACTGTTGATCTGGGTCTCAACATTCTGTACTCATTTAGGTTCATTTACACTTGGGAGGTCTGTCATCTTGGTTACAAAGTTACTTAATTGATTAAGGGGCTGGAAGAAAAGGAAGATATAGATTAAGTTAAAGAATAAACTTGGCCTTTTTCTTAAGCTAAGTAGATTTTGCAATGGCATGCCCCTTGTCCCATTTCCCTGTTCTGTCTCAGAAGGAAGAAAGACAAGACCAACACTAAAGGGGGTAATTTGTAAAGAAGCAACAGTGACTCAGTTTTAAAAATTGTTGAAATACTGCAGGCCCATCCTGGACATAACCTGAGACTTTAGTTTCAAAAGGCTATTGCTATAAGATTGTTTCTATCACAAGAACAAAGTGAGACACCTAAAAATCTAATTTATTGAACAGGCTGGGTTTCATAGGGTGTAAGAAGAAACATTTATTTTTTCTCCCCATTGCCTTGAAACAAGCTCTGTTGGCCCTCTCCCCTGCCCCTTGGCAAGCTCCAGGCCTGGAGCTTGAGGCTTCAGCAAATCCCACAGCTTTTCCAGTAACCTTCAGATCTAGAGAAACACTCTTTTATTTTTACATCATTAACACGTCCAGCCTAATAAGATCAAAACTTCAACCACTCATCCAATTCAAAGCTCTGCCCCTCCCTCAGCTCAGGTGTGATCTGTAACTCTGTGGAACAGACATGTGCATCAATTTCTTCACTTTCCTCATTGCACCCTTATCCCACTATTTTCTGGTCTTTCCAGGGTGAGGGCAGGAGGAGGAAAGAGTGGTGAAAAAGGTCTTATTTGATTAGTTTGTGGGTTGCATGGTGGCCCCCCCAGGAGATAGGTACGTCTACTTCCTAACCCCTGGAACCTGGGATCTTTGTAGATATAACTAAGTTAAAGATTTCAAGATGAGATCATCCTGGATAACCCAGGTGGGTCCTAAATCCAATGACAAGTGTCCTTATAAGAGACAGAGGAGAGGCCACATGAAGACAAAGGTGGATGTTGGAATTATGCAGCCACAAGCCAAGGAACTCCTGGAAGCACAGGAAGCTGGAAGAAGCAAGGAGGGATTCTCCCCTAGAGCTTTCAGAGGGAGTGTGGTCCTGCCCACCTCCTGAGGTTGGACTTCTAGCTCCAGTGCTGTAAGAGAGTTAAGTTCTTTTGTGTTAAGCCACCAGTTTGTGGCTGTTTGTTATGGCAGCCCCAGGACACTAATACAGTTAATGACATTCATACCTGGTATTGGAGCTCTCTGTGTGCTGATGTCCAAATGCTGTCTCTTTTGTTCTTTTTGTGGACTCACTTTTGGTGTTTTTTTTAAAACCCCCTCCCTCATCCCCCTCCATTTGCTGGAGGCCCCTACTCACCCATTCCCTGGTTCAGATAATACATTGCCTGGTTGACTACTGGCTCCTGCTTTTGGTGGCACATCCCATCTAGTCTTTTTCTGTTGGGTCACCTCACCTGCAGGTAGGCCTCTTGGGGGAAGGTCCAAGAAAACTTGAGCCCAGCTATTTGCTTGATGCGCACTTAGCCCTGGGAAAACCCCAGCAGCTCTGTCCCCCACCAAGCCTTGGAAGCAGAGCCCACTCCCTCTGCAGGTGAGGGGCCACAGGTGGTGGAAGTGGTTCTGGGCTCGCCTGCGTAGATGTGTCTAGCGTGTCTCTTTAGAACCAGTGGGGCCCTTAACACTGTGCTTAGCTTTGGGCCCCTGGGAGAAACAGAGTCAGGAAAAGTCCCATTTAACATCCCCTTATACTTGTAGTAATCTTTAGGTCATTTCCATACCTCTTGCTCTCCTTTTCCACACCATTTGTGCATTTTGCTTATTTCTCTAGAATGTGAGTTATTCTGGCATAGATTTCTGGCAACAGATTAGCAGAGAAATGGAGGATCAGAGGTATAGTTTCAATCACATGGCAGTGCCTATCATAGGATGGAAATTCAGAGGCAAGGGAACAGCATTTATATTACTTTGCTACTAGGGATGCTTCAAAATTCCATTTAATCAGAAAAGTATTAAAAAGCACAAAAAAGACAATGGGACAAAAGAATGCCAACTCTACTTAAGAACTCTGCCTGCCTCAATTGCCCTTTGCATTACTGTTCAGAAATGCGAGCTGAAGACCACCACCTGGGATTCCCTTCCGTCAGAGCGGCTCGTTGCCAGGAGGAACACAGTCTGCCAGTGATCCTAATGAGGCGATTGCTCCATGCAAGGGCTCACCTCCTTTTGGTTCTCAGGTTTTCCTTTTAAAGGGAGGTCTTTTCATAATAGCAGTCATCAGAGTAGCAAGATAGATGCACTGAACTAAGTCACCGGTCTGTGCTGCGTGCTTCCTCGGTCTTCTGTTATTGCACCGTCCAGCGTCTGCACTCATTCCCACAGACAGACGCTGTGCATGCCGTCCACAGCCCTCTTTCCATCATGGCCCTGGCGTGCTGCCAGAGGAGGCCATTCATCAGACACGACAATACAAAGGATACGCATGTTCACGCCAGGTCTTCTGAGTCTTCATGGGGAGACACATTTGGCCAGAAGTGTACCGTTCTGATTTACGGTGCCCAAGAGAAGCATTTTTCCATCTCAGCTGAATTCTTTCTCCCATTACAACCTAACACATTGTAGTCACTGCATCATTTGGCTCATATAACCATGTTTTTGCTGGTTGCTATTCAACATGACCCAAACACCACCTACTCTTTCAGTTGCTGAAGAGAATGAAGGCGTCAACTCCTTTGTCATGACCAAGGTAAGTCACTTAGATTGGCATGTTTGTTGCCTGGGACAATGCCATATACTCAATACTAACTTTTAAGTGATGAAGTCCGCGTGGTGGACTTTGACAGGTTTGGGTCTCGCAGCTTTCAGCCCACCTTCTAAATAGCCAATCAGGTGCCCTGATCTTTCCTAGCCTGAGGGAGCCACATGACCTCAGCTGGGCTGATTGCCCACCCGTCCCTGGAAGGTGAATTACGAGCAGAGTGTAACGTGGAGACTAATATGGTGAGATCATTCTGGCAATGGTGGCATCCTGATCAGCAACAGCTTTTTCCATAGTTCTGCTTCTAACCCTGCAACTCATTGCTAGGGCTGGACTACTGACCTTGCCATCTACCTGCCTTCCTGTAACTTCCCTTTGCTGCAAGTTAGCTGAAGTCTATTTTTGTTGCTAGCAAACACTGACATAGCCCCTGTCTTAATGTGGCTGTGTGACTTGAGAGCCATGGAAGAGATGCCCTGATCTTCCACAGTGCTGACGATGCTTTCTTCCTCATTCTCTTGTATTAAGACACTGGAAGCTGCTGTTGTAAAAGAGCAAATAGCACCTAGGAAAGGCCACAGTCGTAGCTCTTTACTCCTGATGCCTGAGTTATCTTGTATGGGTAGTAGTCTCCCTTCACTTGTCAGAGACCAGCAAAATGGGACATAGAACAAATGAATGTTCAGAAGGCTGAATTGGGAGAGCATGAAAGCCTGCACGATTGGATGCTTCAAGACCTCAGGGGTGACTGCATTGGAAGGTTCTGGGTACCCAGAAAGAAGAGTACCTTCACAAGACCCCGGGGAGGGGAGAAATGGAGCAAAAAGGGAGCAGGAGATGCTGAAGAC